GAATACCTCAAGCGTGTGACGGAAATGTTACGCCCCTCAGCATACTGTGATGCTGTCTCCCAAAGACGAGACAAAACCAATAAAACCCATTACAAACGAGGCATTTGTTGCATTCAGTGGGGACATAATTACTGATTATAAATAATGACTTATACTGTGTTTTTACACGTTGCTTTGCATATAGCGCCGCGTAAACATAAAACCATGTCTGCATTTGTGATCGGAGAAATGACAAACAACAAGCGCTACTCACGTTTGAATCATCAGTGGCAAATTCTTTAAATGTAAAAAATGTACTTACAGGCTGCAAGTCAGAAGCGCCAGTCTGTCCTTGCAAAGTTGGAACTGCCCCACTTTATAGAACAGCCTTTGAGCACAGCCCCATTGTAGGCTACTCTGCAGGTTCAGGAAACAGTCCTCCATAAAATGCGTCACACACGGCGGGCTTGAATGAGGAACAGCCGGTGCGGCCACCAGATTTGACGAAGGTGTCCTCTTTTGGAAGACCAAACAAAATAGTTTCTCTTTCACAACGAAGCACACAGCGTCTTCACGACACGGCATACTACAGCGAGAATAAAAGTTACGCCTACTTTCTTTGCGTGAACGTTTGGGCGGCGTTATGCAAATCTTCCCACATAGTGAGGTAGGTATGTGGGGGCGTGCTAGAACGAGCCGTTTTAGGAGGTCGTGGACAAGTCTTAACTTTTATAAAGAATATCTCTTTGGATTTGAGACTTTAGTCTTTGCAACTTTACAGATCTTCTTTATGCACCAAGAGCTCGTAACACTCCAAAGAGAAAGAACAATTGAAATCGCATCATATGACCCCTTTAATGTAAAATTTATATTTGTTTTCCTTTAGCTTTACCAAACATGATTTTTACTAGATTTTTAATCATTTTTAATAGTGTAAGTTTTTTTTATCTAATATTTATATTTTATTTTCCTTCAGCTTTATTTAAATTGCCAGAAGTGTGTTTAGTAGTCAACAATAATAACACTGGCCATCTGGGTGGTTGCTAGGTGCTTTAAAACCCAGTTTTCAGAGTGAATCAGGATATTTAATGAGAAAAAAGTAGGACCAAGCTTAATTTTTGCATGTTTTTAATATGACAGGTGGTTGATACATAAGTCAGTTCTGACTTCATGTAGATTTCAGAACTCAGTTTATGCCACATTTTGAACCAAAGGACTATTTTAATAAGCATTCCCTGTCATATTTCTCTTGTATTTCCTGCTTTGTCATCACAGCAGATGTTCTCGCAGCTGACAGATGGATTTATTCATGTGGGTGCGAGTCGTGCTTTCACTGAGTCACAGATATACCGTATGTGGAAGGATTCTACCATAATGCATCAGTGCAGAGTCAGATATGATTGCAGGAGAATGACATAATGACGCAGCCGTAACACTGTGAGGAGAAGCTCTCTCTCTCTCTCTCTCTCTCTCTCTCAGGGTTCATTGTATCTAATTAACATTTGGCTGCTCGTTCTTCTGAATAGGTTTATTATGCTGCTGATGGGAGTGCAGAGGCGATGCTCCAGAATGAGTGACTGTGTGCTCTCGTTTTGTCACAGTCTCTTTAGGACTGCGTTTATCAACTGGTTTTGCTTCTAGATACAGATTTTCAGGAGCCAAAATAGTACTTTGAAAGAAGAGAAAGAACCTTAAAAACCAACATTGAAATGGCATTAGCATTAACTGCACAGACTCTATCAGACATTATTAATATAAATTAACCTTTCTTAATGTATAAATAAATAAATGCGGTAGTATTTTTCATTGTTAATTCGTGTTAAAATAGATAACTGTGGTTAACAAATAAAACGTTATTGTAAAGTGTTACTATAATAATATTGTAATTATAAAAGTACTGTAATAAGTATTTTATATACTTTTGTTTTTTGTCACTGCAGGTGATTTTCTATTGAATTAATCTGGATTTTCTCTTGCCTTGTGTGGTTTTATGATGTTATAATGTTTTTATTTAATCATACCGGGGTTATTTTAATATCATTGAAATAATACTGTACTGTAGTTTTTGTTATTTAATATTTTGAATTAGTTTTTGTATTTTGCTTTCATTTCAAGGTTTTAGTAATCTTGTAATTTTTGGTGATTTGTTGTTGGTTTTTTTATTATTCCTTTTCATTTCACTTTTATTTGACTGATTTAACAGGTTCATTTATGCTGAAGTACTGCAGAGCTTGATTGCATGCACAGACTTTAACATCAACATCAAGTGTTTTCTCCCTTTAAAAGTAATTTTCACTATTTATATATTTAGTCTATTTATTTTACTATCCTAACATCAGTATTCGCAATTATATGGTTATATGCATTATTGCATTATTGAACTTTAAAGCTTTAGATGCACATGCTGCAGGGTGTTAAACATTGTTCTCTCTAAGAGGGTCTCATCCTGATTGAAGTTTTCTAGCAGCTCTGATCATAACTTCACTAAAGCAAGTGCACTACTTACGTGTATTCACATGAGGGCAGTGTGTCTCTTCCAGTGTACAAAAATGCTCAATGCAGAGTGACCGTTATGTCCAAAATATTAGCCTTTTTACTGAAATAAATAGACAGCATATTACACCAATTCACCTGCCATGTAGAAATGTTAATGTTTTATGCCTTCATCTGATTGCTAGAAAAATGTCAATACACAACACAGAATTTCTGGGGGGAATAATCATATTATAGGATTTTAGATTTTTATAGATTCGGTTAATTACACATACTGTTTGATTATTACAATTTTATTAAAGTATTAAAATGGAATACAGAAAAAATTTAAATGGAAAACAGAATTTGGTAAAAAAAAATGAAATTTGAAAAATAAACGAATAATAACAGTGAATAATTTCATAGGTCTCTGTTACGTCTCTGATGATAATTTTTATCTAGGGATTAGAAGAGGTAACATTAAGTTGACATTAAAGAACAAAGCCAGGTAAAATAAGTGGCAATGAAAAGGAAAATGAAAAGGAAAAAGGAAGGGAAGTTAAAGTGGCGCTTAAATCATAAAATAAAATAGAACAAAAATCCCATTATCTAGCTAAGTCCCAAAACCCCTAAAGTATTAAAGAAAAAAAAAAGAAAATCTTCAACGCAAAAGCGTCATAAACTACACTGAATATGCAAAAGCAAAACATACAAGACAAGCGCACACAAATAAACTAGTGTGTCTATACATCCAATATCCCTACGTGCAGGTATGTAGGTCACGTGACTTCCTAAACTCTTCCACTCCTTCCTTGTCTTCCAAACCAGCAACGAGCTGACAAAGACATCCGATCACACAGCGGCATAGCATCGCCAGCCGTTAAAACCCAAGAGCGCACACAAACACATTCCAAGAGCGCACACAACAGTCACAATACAAAACATCACCCCCGTCTTCACGCTGACGTTCTCCTTTTAAACCTTTCGGACAAGAACGCCATTGGCAAAGGGATGGGTCGTCAAATAACTAATGATGAATGACAGCACAGATAGCCAATAGAATCCAAGGAAGGCGGTACCTAAGAGCATGAGAGCGAGAACAGAGAAGAGACTAAAAGAAATAACATACACGCACAAAACAAAAGGTCGCAGACCGTAACAGTCTCTAAAAATTTAATTTCTGTTAAACGTTTAATAAATTGTTCTTAAATGAATTTATAAGTTATGTGATTTTAAGTAAACATGCCTTTTGATCATTAAAATTTAAATTTAATTTTAACCATTAAAACTGAGTCCAGAAAAATTTAAATGGGGAGAGAGAAAATTAAAGCTGAAAAAATGGAATAATAAAAAAAAAAAAATTCATAGGGACCTCCATATGTGTGACCCTGGACCACAAAACCAGTCATAAGGGTCAATTTTTCGAAATTGAGATTTATACATCATCTGAAAGCTGAATAAATAATATTTCCATTGATGTATGGTTTGTTAGGATCGGACAATATTTGGCCGAGATACAACTATTTGAAAATCTGGAATCTGAGGGTGCAAAAAAATCTAAATATTGATAAAATCATCTTTAAAGTTGTTCAAATGAAGTTCTTAGCAATGCATATTACTAATCATAAATTAAGTTAATTAAGATCATCAAAATATCTTGATGGAACATGATCTTTACTTAATATCCTAATGATTTTTGGCATAAAAGAAAAATCAATAATTGTGACCCATACAATGTATTGTTGGCTATTGCTACAAATATCCCCCAGCGACTTAACACTGCTTTTGTGCTGCAGGGACACATTACATGTATATGGGTATATATTGCTTTTTACTAAATATACATTATAGCAAACAGCAAATTTACTGTGTGTGTATATGTATATATAACATATAATAATATATATTAATGAGATGTTCGATTAGATGTCTAAAATGATGTGTTTGTGTTTTAACAGTAAACATCTTCAGCTGTGAAATCATAGGTGTTGAAGTCTTGATCTGTAACAGTCTTTTGCTCGTTACCATCGTCTCTCATCTGTGTGTTTGTTCAGGACGACTCAGAGAAACCAGATCAATGGAGTCAGTGTGAGGACTCGTATGTCGTCCCGGTGAGAGCGTTTCCACACACTCTCTGTCTGAACGTCTAATTAAATTAAACACAGAGATGTTCAAATGTCACTAATCATATTGTTTTTAAAGCGGAGGGGCGTAAACCTCTTTCCATCCATCTTCTCATATCTTTGTGTTCAACCAAACAGTATTTATCTGCAACTGCATATCGAATTAGACCGTTTCCACATGGTTGTGATCGACAGACTGCAGATTTTGCTCTGTATTTGATGCTCGAATGATCTGGCAGGTCACAGAGGCCGTCGCTGACCTGAACCTCGTCACATCCAAAGAAGAGCAGCTGGAGTATCTGCGGTGGAAGAAGGAGCGCGAGGAGATCGACTGCGAGCGCGTGGCCCGACACAAGAACGCCAGAGGCCAGTGGAGGAGAGCCTGGGACATGGAGAAAACCGATCTGATGTAAGCCAGACGCCTGCACCTGATTTCTCTTCTGACGTGAGAGCAACTAACCTGCTTTGCTTTAGTTTGCAGCTTGATTTAGTTTGATTTCTTCTTTCGTTTGTTCGTTTTCTGCATGTTTAACTGCCTCATACATGTTTGAATCATAATGGCCTGGTTCTTCTCTGTCTGTCTTGACACCTTCAGATATCTTTGTTTTGTTTATTGGTCTTAACTAAATGATTCATAAATTCAGAAAACTTTTTGATGTTTTTGGTCTTTTTTTGTTTTGTTTTCTTTATGCTTGAAATGATCCAAATTATCTGTGAAGATTATTTTATATCTTTAATAAATCATTCGATTACATTTCTGAAATCTGTTTTCAAACAGAAGATTGTTTTATAACAGTAATATTTAGCTGTTAATGCTGGTTAAAATTAACCAATAGTCATGTATCCATTTAGTCATTATCTGTGTTTCCATCCATGCATTTTTATATACATTTTGGGATATTGCATTAAAAAAATAATTTGGATGGGAACACCAAGATGTGCATCAAATCTTAAAATGCACATTAAAAAATGATTTGCTCAATTGAAGTGGAAGTAATTTATTATGTAGGAAAAAGAGTCACAGGCTTAAAATTAAGATTTATGTATTTTAATTCCATCTAAAATGTCCATCTATTTGGATTAAACAGTATTAACAAACTAATAAACTCAGTAAACATCTTCAGCTGTGAAATCATAGGTGTTGAAGTCTTGATCTGTAACAGTCTTTTGCTCGTTACCATTGTCTCTCATCTGTGTGTTTGTTCAGGACGACTCAGAGAAACCAGATCAATGGAGTCAGTGTGAGGACCCGTATGTCGTCCCGGTGAGAGCGTTTCCACACACTCCCTGTCTGAACGTCTAATTAAATTAAACACAGAGATGTTCAAATGTCACTAATCATATTGTTTTTAAAGCGGAGGGGCGTAAACCTCTTTCCATCCATCTTCTCATATCTTTGTGTTCAACCAAACAGTATTTATCTGCAACTGCATATCGAATTAGACCGTTTCCACATGGTTGTGATCGACAGACTGCAGATTTTGCTCTGTATTTGACGCTCGAATGATCTGGCAGGTCACAGAGGCCGTCGCTGACCTGAACCTCGTCACATCCAAAGAAGAGCAGCTGGAGTATCTGCGGTGGAAGGAGCGCGAGGAGATCGACCGCGAGCGCGTGGCCCGACACAAGAACACCAGAGGCCAGTGGAGGAGAGCCTGGGACATGGAGAAAACCGATCTGATGTAAGCCAGACGCCTGCACCTGATTTCTCTTCTGACATGAGAACAACTAACCTGCTTTGCTTTAGTTTGCAGCTTGATTTAGTTTGATTTCTTCTTTCGTTTGTTCGTTTTCTGCATGTTTAACTGCCTCATACATGTTTGAATCATAATGGCCTGGTTCTTCTCTGTCTGTCTTGACACCTTCAGATATCTTTGTTTTGTTTATTGGTCCTGAACTAAATGATTCATAAATTCAGAAAACTTTTTGATGTTTTTGGTCATTTTTTTGTTTGTTTTCTTTATGCTTGAAATGATCCAAATTATCTGTTAAGATTATTTTATCTTTAATAAATCATTCGATTACATTTCTGAAATCTGTTTTCAAACAGAATATTGTTTTATAGCAGTAATATTTAGCTGTTAATGCTGGTTAAAATTAACCAATAGTCAGGTATCTATTTAGTCATTATCTGTGTTTCCATCCATGCATTTTTATATACATTTTGGGATATTGCATTTAAAAAAAAAATTTGGATGGGAACACCAAGATGTGCATCAAATCTTAAAATGCACATTAAAAAATGATTTGCTCAATTGAAGGGGAAGTAATTTATTATGTAGGAAAAAGAGTCACAGGCTTAAAATCTATTTGGATTAAACAGTATTAACAAACTAATAATGTGATGCATATTTGTCAGTCAGGCATAAATGAAACCGGTCACATTTCTGCACTCAAAAATCATGCTATAGTTTAAACCATTTAAAATGTTTAATTATTTAAATGAAATCAAATAGATGCAAATAGTTAATTTATTTGATTTTGTTTAAATAATCATATTTTCGTAATGCATTTATTCAAATTGCTTAGAATCAGCATTAGTCTGTTCATTGTGATGATAATGAAATTCAGTTAAAAAGTATGAAAATGGTAGCTGTGGAGCAAGCAGTATTCAATTAGTTTAAAAACATTGAAACCAATTGAAATGGTATTGATGATAAATGTATAAACATGGTTATTGTGTATTTGTTTGATTTGTTGATTTGTGTATTTTATTGTGTATATGCTAAATATTTGTTTGAGTGTCTTTAACTGCAATGTCCATTTTTATTATTGATCATTTGCGGCAGTTTCCCGGGAAGTGACGATTTTGTTGTCTTGTGATGGAAGCAAGTAGCCTAAAACAATGTCAAAATAGATATTGCAGCTGTTCTAAAATCTTGCCTATAGTTAATAGAGAAATTTCTCTTGTTATTGTCTAGATTTGCAGCAGTAATATCACAATAGGCGCTTTTCCACGGTCGGGCCAGTGCTTTAAATGGGCCGGGCGGGGCTAATAGCACAGAGGTAAAAATCACAGTGCGTTTCCACCGTCGGGCCAGAAGCTCCGCTGCGCTTTACTAAAACCCGCCCTTTACACGCCTCACAAGTGAAGTGGCCAAGTATGGTTACCCATTCTAGGAATTAGTGCTCTGCATTTAACCCATCCAAAGTGCACACACACAGCAGTGAACACACACACACCGTGAACACACACCCGGAGCAGTGGGCAGCCATTTATGCTGCGGCGCCCGGGGAGCAGTTGGGGGTTCGGTGCCTTGCTCAAGGGCACCTCAGTCGTGGTATTGAAGGTGTGAGAGAGCGCTGTACATTCACTCCCCCCACCTACAATTCCTGCCGGACCTGAGACTTGAGTGACCCATACAATGTATTGTTGGCTATTGCTACAAATATCCCCCAGCGACTTAACACTGCTTTTGTGCTGCAGGGACACATTACATGTATATGGGTATATATTGCTTTTTACTAAATATACATTATAGCAAACAGCAAATTTACTGTGTGTGTATATGTATATATAACATATAATAATATATATTAATGAGATGTTCGATTAGATGTCTAAAATGATGTGTTTGTGTTTTAACAGTAAACATCTTCAGCTGTGAAATCATAGGTGTTGAAGTCTTGATCTGTAACAGTCTTTTGCTCGTTACCATTGTCTCTCATCTGTGTGTTTGTTCAGGACGACTCAGAGAAACCAGATCAATGGAGTCAGTGTGAGGACCCGTATGTCGTCCCGGTGAGAGCGTTTCCACACACTCCCTGTCTGAACGTCTAATTAAATTAAACACAGAGATGTTCAAATGTCACTAATCATATTGTTTTTAAAGCGGAGGGGCGTAAACCTCTTTCCATCCATCTTCTCATATCTTTGTGTTCAACCAAACAGTATTTATCTGCAACTGCATATCGAATTAGACCGTTTCCACATGGTTGTGATCGACAGACTGCAGATTTTGCTCTGTATTTGACGCTCGAATGATCTGGCAGGTCACAGAGGCCGTCGCTGACCTGAACCTCGTCACATCCAAAGAAGAGCAGCTGGAGTATCTGCGGTGGAAGAAGGAGCGCGAGGAGATCGACTGCGAGCGCGTGGCCCGACACAAGAACGCCAGAGGCCAGTGGAGGAGAGCCTGGGACATGGAGAAAACCGATCTGATGTAAGCCAGACGCCTGCACCTGATTTCTCTTCTGACATGAGAACAACTAACCTGCTTTGCTTTAGTTTGCAGCTTGATTTAGTTTGATTTCTTCTTTCGTTTGTTCGTTTTCTGCATGTTTAACTGCCTCATACATGTTTGAATCATAATGGCCTGGTTCTTCTCTGTCTGTCTTGACACCTTCAGATATCTTTGTTTTGTTTATTGGTCCTGAACTAAATGATTCATAAATTCAGAAAACTTTTTGATGTTTTTGGTCATTTTTTTGTTTGTTTTCTTTATGCTTGAAATGATCCAAATTATCTGTTAAGATTATTTTATCTTTAATAAATCATTCGATTACATTTCTGAAATCTGTTTTCAAACAGAATATTGTTTTATAGCAGTAATATTTAGCTGTTAATGCTGGTTAAAATTAACCAATAGTCAGGTATCTATTTAGTCATTATCTGTGTTTCCATCCATGCATTTTTATATACATTTTGGGATATTGCATTTAAAAAAAAAATTTGGATGGGAACACCAAGATGTGCATCAAATCTTAAAATGCACATTAAAAAATGATTTGCTCAATTGAAGGGGAAGTAATTTATTATGTAGGAAAAAGAGTCACAGGCTTAAAATCTATTTGGATTAAACAGTATTAACAAACTAATAAACTTAATGTGATGCATATTTGTCAGTCAGGCATAAATGAAACCGGTCACATTTCTGCACTCAAAAATCATGCTATAGTTTAAACCATTTAAAATGTTTAATTATTTAAATGAAATCAAATAGATGCAAATAGTTAATTTATTTGATTTTGTTTAAATAATCATATTTTCGTAATGCATTTATTCAAATTGCTTAGAATCAGCATTAGTCTGTTCATTGTGATGATAATGAAATTCAGTTAAAAAGTATGAAAATGGTAGCTGTGGAGCAAGCAGTATTCAATTAGTTTAAAAACATTGAAACCAATTGAAATGGTATTGATGATAAATGTATAAACATGGTTATTGTGTATTTGTTTGATTTGTTGATTTGTGTATTTTATTGTGTATATGCTAAATATTTGTTTGAGTGTCTTTAACTGCAATGTCCATTTTTATTATTGATCATTTGCGGCAGTTTCCCGGGAAGTGACGATTTTGTTGTCTTGTGATGGAAGCAAGTAGCCTAAAACAATGTCAAAATAGATATTGCAGCTGTTCTAAAATCTTGCCTATAGTTAATAGAGAAATTTCTCTTGTTATTGTCTAGA